CATAATGAGGTCTGAAAGTAACTTTTTCCAATCATCCCCACCAACTGCACACTCAGTCGGCCCACAGAGCACACAAGAACCAGATTCCTTCTGAAATAAAAGAGAGACCTACATTCCAAGGGTGCACTAAGTGTGCTCCATTACTCAAGTCCTCTGGACAACTTTATAAAAAATATGCATGATGAGGACATTTCATTCAAGGAACCAGACTAAATGCAGTCCAAAGTAACACCCCTAAACTGCGTATAAAGAGGTAGGGGCCTCAGCACCAGCTGTGTCTAGGTCAGCCTGCTCATCTACCCTCACTGAGCTGATAATTACTGTCTAATATAGAAAAAGCTCTTAACTCAGGTGAATAGAGACTAAACACTGGAACACCATCACAAGTCAAAAAAAAAAAAAAGGGGGGAGGAATTTTGGAAGTTACTATTAGGGAGAAATTACATGCAGAAAATAGCATAAAAGATGTATGGATGATGAACTCTCTACTCTGGATCTATAATTACCCATAATAGCAAGCTGAAGGTCTTTAGGCTCCACTGAGTTAGAACGTATCAGTGTCCCGAAGGTATATACTAACTTGGAAACATTTGCAAACTAGGAAGACAAAAACATACAAACCAAATAAATTGTACAGTATTTAAGCAAATGCAAGTGAAGGATGAAATTCAATTGCCTATGTAAAAAAAATGTAAGCATTTATTAATTTAGCCCAAAGTCATATTTATAGATTATGCCAGTATTATTTTCTAAATAGAAGGTTATTTGACATACATTAAATCAAAGGAGGGGAGAGCGAGGAAGGAAGGGCAGAAATTACAGTGGGTAGCTGCTATTGCGCTGGCAAATCCAGAAATTCTAGAAAGTCCTTGACAAATCTAAGATTTGTGAACTGCGATTTTACATAATCTCTGCTTTTGTATTTTAAATATCTCAAACTGTCTGTATGTAGGAGATGCTAATGCTGCTAAGGAATAAACACATCCCCCGTATCACTTTACAGCTGTACTGCAGCAGGGGTAAATATGCTCTAAAAGGCTTTGGTTGGGAAGAAAGCAACAACCATTATTTTTGCTTCTTGCAAATTTGTTAATGAACCCAAAGTCCCTGGCCTGCTGGTATTATTGTTTAGCTCTCAAATCAAATTACAAGTCCTGCACCGATTCAACGTCGTTTGAAGCTTGTGCATGAAACGAGACAAGAACTGAAAAATCGTAGGACCGTGAGCACCAGTTGACTTCAGGACTGGTTTAAGTTTGCAGGATCCGAAAGAGCGAGCAGCATCTGGCTGCTTTTCTGCTTCGTTCAAGCATTAGCCCCAGTACTGTTTCAACACACTTCCTCGACAGGGGCGGCTGCAGTCCTTCGAGCAGTCATCTGGCTGGTGCAACGCTGCTATCACCCACCAAGGGAAACTGCTACTGGCTCCCCACGCAGCCAATCCCCCCAGGCAGCGCAGGGACGCAGCTGGGGCGAAGGCGGCACGTGGCTGTGCTATTCTTCCCCAAAAGTGACATTTCCCTCCGACAGCTGACCGTCCCTCCGGCCAAGCCCAGCCACGTAGGTTTTGTGCCCTGGGGCTCTTTGGGACTGCCGGTCACCAGGTGGGAAAAGCAGCACGTCAAGCAGAGATGGGGAATGAGCTTTGTTTTGCTAACCCCGATAGCCTTCACTAAATGGAAAAAAATTGGTCCCATCGCTTCGCATCGTTTTTGCTCTGCGAAAGCCTTTGACACACACAACTCCCTGCAGGTTAATAAAAGAAACGATGGTATTACTCCTTATGAGTTCATCTCAAGCCTACCGACTTGAAGTTCGAGGGAGCTGAGCTACACAATGTAACTTCATACGACACACTGTGATTTTAAACAATAATGATCATCCTTTAGATGTACCAGAGTGAAATAAGGGGCCTGAAGCGGCCCCTTACTCAATTCATATCCAGAACATGTCTCAGATAAATTAATATAGGAAGAATAAAAGACCAAGCAAGATAAACAAGACAATTGTCTAAAATCCAAGAAAGTTTAGAACATAATTTTGTGCTAGTCCACACTGTATCAGCATTTCTGATGTGATGAACTTACACCAACACGCACTCAAAAAAAAGGCCCAGTAAAGCAAAGCTGAGCAAGCACCAGTTTTGTTTTAAGGGCTGTATGAAGTGTTATGCCTCACGTAGGAGGCTGATTTCACGCTGTGGCCATGAAGGATATAAAGAGAAAAAGGGCATGTGTCACGACTAAAATACTACTACTGTTTCTGCTAGCACATCTATTTAATTAAAACAGTTTGAATTAAACTTTGGCCGAGATAAAGCAAGAACATTTTTAACTGCTAAAATCTGGGCCTTCTTCCTTCATCCTTTCATCTAAAGGATCCCTCATCCTTTAGAGGGCTCTACACCACAAAGAGCTCCTTTCAAAGTTTCCCAATTGCATGGCACATGACGCTTCTACACATGCTGGACACTTTAAAGTAATCTTGAAAAACAACCACTTGTGTGGGCAGTATTTTGTTATTACTAACAGGACTGGCTAGCAGTAAGCAAAACGTTACCTTCCACTAGCACTCACCGATGACCTCCTGGCTCCACAGAGTCAGGCAGCACAACAATTTATCTCTTACACATCAACAAATAAGTGATACCTTCTAAATGCTGCTGTAGTATTACAGTCTTCCCTCACAGGTAGCTTCAATAAGGTTATGCAGGAAATGTATGAAACTGAAATCGAGGAAATTTCAGAGGCAGTAGGAGTGAGGCTTCCCAGTGTGCACACTTCTCCTCAGCCACTTCACCTACGAGGCTCAACTTTACAGATAGTTGGCCACTGCTGGAGCCGAAGTCTCATCTAGGGTAAAATCACAGTCCCTGGAAATATGTCAGGTGGCAATTCGATATCAGGTTGAGATCAGGCTCACAGTATATGAAGCCTGAGACATCTGCAGCACCAACAGTTTGCTCTGCAAAGGCTTCCATGGAGCATTCTGGGAGACTTTCTAGAACTCCTTGAGTTAAAAATAAAAACAAACAATTGTGTTTGGTTTGTTTTTTTTTTTCTGGTAGCCCTTTAATCTCCAGCAATCTTTAGCACTAAATTTGTGTGTACATATATATACACACACACATATATATACACATACTATGTTCTATAACCCATGTTCCAAACATGTGAAAGACCTTTCTACGTGAAAGATAAATTTCCCTAAAACAGGCTTTAAAATTATGAACACTTTACTGTTGCACTGCAGCTGCAGGGAGGGATAAGGAAGAGTGAAAAACTAGAAAATTCAGCATATGGCCATGCTCAGGAAATTAACAGTTTCTTCTGGGATTTATCTAATCATTTCTCTATTTACAGCTGACAGCTTCCCTGTTACCCCTCAGCCCCTTCCAGTTAAAGGAGAAACACAGCTCACTCCAATACCAACTAAGAGAACTGCACTGTAAAAAACAAAAACAAACCAACCCACTAGTAAATAACTCTGACAATGCTGTGGTTTTAATTTGCAAAAGGTTTTTATAAGTTTCCCTAGAAAAGGAAAATGAAGTTTAGGAACTCTCCTGATAACTTCTGCACCACGGGGATGTTTCCAACCATTTTGAGAGAGGAGCAGAACTGCTAAGACTCCATGCACCCAGTGGCCAAGGACAAACCATGCACTCATTCCCCTCGCAAGAGGTGACAGTGTGAGCTTGTGGCTTTCCAGGCACCTGGACATGCCCACTGGAAGTCAGCTGAGACAGAGAGCCCCAAGAAAGCGGTCTGTATTATTCTACTGGTCTCAGAAATTCTTGTAACCTGAAAAAGTCATGGTCCAAATCAAAGAAGGGTTGGGACACAATTGCTGTAGACGATAAAGACATCAAGGCGAAAGACCTGAAGACACTGTTGCACAGGGTGAGAAGTCTGAAATGATTCAGAATAAAGTTCTTTACCTAGGACCTGCCAAAGTTAATCAGGTCCTATGATCAGAAAGTCCCTCAGGTGGGATCCACTAAAAGTAGTTGGTCCAAGACAATTGAGACAAACTCTTTTTTTTCAGTTTCCCACAATTAAAAATTACTGTCAATATGAAACAAGAGGCTTAACACATTCTTCATAATGGATTAAGTACTACAATTGTGCAAATCCTGTAATGCGAGGAGATGTGCCTGGGCTTTTGACCTCTGTGACTTCTAAGAGCAGTGCCAGTTTACCTACTCCTATTATCAATTCTGATTTCGCTATATCTACTCTCGTTTCTGGGCTGTCAAGTAGAACAGAAGCTTCTGATAAAGCTTCTCTATGCTGCTCATCATTTTACGGACTATCACATTTCCCTAACACGCTCCGGAGTTTTCCATCCAGTGAGTGCTATAAAAGCTTTGCTATGTGCCAATAATTTTTATTCATCTAGTTCTGTATTGTCCTTTTCTAGATGACCAGCAGTGCCCAAAGTATTTCAGGTACACCCACTGACCTGTGTAACACCTACTGATCTATAAAATACTATAACGTTTCTCTGTTATTATCTGTTCTGTTCCCAGTGAAATCTAACATAATTTTTGCCTGCAGTTTCACATTGAACAGAGATTTTCATTGCTCCTTCTCTCATGATGCTCCTGAGTTAACACAATGCATTTAAAAACCAGAAAAGTGCATACTCAGTCCTTCTTCTCTCCAAGTGTTTCAAGTTTTCAATACTAAGATTTATTTCCCACCCTCTGCCCTCATTCTTCACCCATTCCTCAAGGGTTAAATCTACAAATAAGTTCTGTCTGGTCTCTGCTGGGCTTGACTTAAGAAAAAATTAGTGTCATCTGAAAATTCTGCTGTATCATCGCTAGTTCATTTTTCCAGTTCATTAAGCAGCACCAGACCCAGCAAAGAACCTTGCAGCACCCCTGCTGTTAACCTTTTGCTATGCTGAACACCATTTCTTGTCCCTTAGCCAAAACCCCTCAATAAGCCCAGTCTGTATCTTGACCACAATCCTCTCTCAGGGTTATACCCAACTCCAGTCCTTATCTGAGCAAAACTCCCATGGATTTCCACGGTCATTTTGCCTGACAACAGGGCGTTTGCAAAATCAGGGAACAAAGATTGTTCTCACCAGCAGCTGAGTCAAATGGTACGGTAGCTGCAGTTACATGATTATCTCAGTTTATCTTATTTATAGATCTTTATGGATGTAGCCTCTTCGCTGTGCCAAAAGATCAGATTGTAAGTGCTAGTCCAACTAAAGGTTCCTGCAGGTCAACCCCGCTCAGAGCACGCCTGAATTTAGCTCTTCAGTTTCTCCGGGAACGAACGCACAGGGATGTATTTTTCTACCTGTACAAGGATGCAATGACACTTTTTACTGCTGCTCTTGTTATTCTATTAGCACTTCACAAGGAGCGGCTTCGCTTTCAGTGATAAAGTAACACAATAAACAGACAACACAATGCTGTCATTCTTTCCACATCAAATGAGGGAACTGGTTTCTTTGACTTTTTTTTTTTTTTTTTTTTTTTTTAAGGGTGATATTGAGGAAAACAGTTCCTGGAAAGCAGGGTCTCGCTAACTGGTTGAGTGTTTGTGGTGTTTTTGAATGAGTTGGGGTTTGCTGAGCTACCACCACGCCAAGCAAACGTAACATCGCCACGGTGCGTGTCGCACCGGACTTAACGTTCATCCGGCCGCCGCAAACGGCGCTTCTGCAGGGAGCCGCGCTCACACGCCGAAGCCCCTCGTCTGCCCCCCCGCCAGGCCACGGCCCCGCTTTGCGGGGCAGCGCCGGGCTGGCTCTCCCTGCCTTTCCCGCGGGTGAAAACGGGGCGTCTGACGCAGCGGGGGTGGGGGTCCCACGAAAGGTGACAACAGACCGCGCGAATCCACCCGCACGCCCCGGGCAGGAGGGGGCTGCGCCGCTCCGCTCCCGCTGCCTCCCCCTTCCCGGGCGGGGGGGGGGGGACCCGCCGCGGCCGGGCTCCGCGGGCGCCGCTCACCTTGAGGTACTCGTTCTCCGAGCGCAGCTCCTCCACCTCCCGCTGCAGCTCCTCCGGGGGCGCCGGCGGCTCCCCGCGGCTCGGGGCTCGCCCCCCGCCCGGGGCCGCGGGCAGCGCATCCCCGCGGGGCCCGGGGGGCGGCGGGGCTCCGCGCCCGATGCCGGTGGCCGGTCGGGTGGGCTCGGCGGCGGGCTGGGCGCCGGGCAGCTCCCGCTCGCGGTCGCTGGAGCCGGTGCCGGACTCGGCGTCGCTGCTGGCGGCCGGGGCCAGGCGCTGCTCGTCGGAGAGCGGCTCGGAGGGGCAGTCGGAGAGATCGGAGCTGCTGTCCGTGTGGCCGACGCGGGCCAGCGCCGCCGCCGCATGGCCGCTGCCCGCCGCGGCGCCCCGCTTCCCCTTCCTACCCTTGCCGGGCGGAGGGGCCGCCTCCCCGCCGGGCTGCCGCCCCCCGCCCCGGCCGCCGGGGCCCGGCTCCGGCCCGCGGGCCGCCCGCTTGGCGCAGGGGGCGGCCTTGGCGCCCGCCCTGCCGGCGGCACCGGCGGCGGCCTTGCCCCCCGGGGCGGCGGGGCGGCGGGAGAGGCGGCCCGGCGCCGCCAGGAGCCCCGCGGCCGGCGGGTGGGCGACCGGGTGCGGCGAGGGGGGCGCCCGGCCGGGGAGGCCGGGGGATTTGGGGGGGGCGGGCGGCGGCTTGGCGGCGGCGGCGCGGGCGTGGAGGTCCTTGAGGAAGGGTCTGGCGGGCGACGGGGCGCGGTGCAGCCGCTTCTTCTCGGCGTGCGGGTGGTGGTGGCCGCCGCCGGGGGAAGGCGGCGGCCGCAGCGAGTCGCCGGGCGCCGGGCCGGGGCCGTTCAGCGCCTCCATGGCGCGGGCCGGGGGCGGCGGGGCGGCGGCCGCGGCGGCCGGCGGCGGCAGGAGCGGCGGTGCCCGCGGGGCGCGGCAGCAGGACGGGCAGCCTCCTCCAGCCTCCCCGCTCGCTCTCTCATCACTTCTGCTTCTCCCAGCCACAGCCTTCACACTTTGCTTCCTCGATCCCCCTCTTCCTGCCCCCACCCCCACCTCCTCCTCCCTCTCCTCCTCCTCCTCGCCGCTCTCTCCCGAGCACTGATTTGTTTCACTAAAGCGAGCCCAAATCCCCCGGTGGCAGCCGTCTCCTCCTCCCTCTCCTTCCCCTCCCGCTCCCTTCTCCGCCTAGCCTAGCTTGATGCAGCCCAAGTTGTGATGCAGCCCGAAAAACCCCTCCTTTTCCCCTCAATGGGAGGCAAAGGCGTGCTCCCCGGCCGCCTTCACCGGCAAGCCCCCGCTCAGCCCACCGGCGCCGCTAACCCCATGGCTGCCCCGGCCCCGGCCCCGCTCCGGCCGCCGCCGCCGCCTCCGCCCGGCTCCTGAAATAGCCCCGCGGCTGCCGGGGCCGCTCCGGCGCGGCGCTGCCCGCCTGTGCGCAGGATCCGCCCCCTCTGTCAGCCAGCCAGGCCGCTCTCCCTGCAAACTACTTTTCCTCGCACGCTTTATTATAGGGGCGCCTCTGCCAGCCGCTTCCTATCAGAAAGCCTCATTTCGGGAGAAATTTTAATTTCCCAGTCATGAGCTGTATAGCGCTATAGCCTTGCCCGCGTATTTGGATTTTTTTTTTTTAATCTATCTATTTATTTATTTATTTCCCAGCTAAGACTTCATGAAAAACCTCTCTCCGGGGATTGTCAGCAACAAAACAACAGCCGCCGCATTATCTCTTTGCTCAAGGCAGACACAGGTTCACCCAGAGGCAGGGCTGAGCATCCGAGGGAATCAGCAAGTTCCTGGCTGTGGCTAAACTACAGAAGGCGCGGACCCATCCTTTTGGAGCACGGGGATATGAAATTACAGCCCTTTACATTTGCAAAGCACCCGGGGAGTAAATGAAAGGGAGGAGAGGCTCAAGCGTGGGAAAGAGGCACAGCCTAATGGGTAGAGCAGAGCAGCAGCAGCAGCAGCCAGGATGTTTCTGACTCCTCCGTTTGGGCACAGCGGGACCTTGGGCAAGCCGCGGTAGTTCCCGTATCTCTCAAACGAAGGTGGTAAACGCGTGCTTATCTCACGAAGTCCTTGGGAGGTTGAAAACATCCACGCCTGGACGGCAGCGACTGCCGGGAAGGACTTGGGGAAGGGCAATCCTGTTTTGTTTTGTTTTGTTTTTTTGTGGGGGGGGAGGGGACAGCACCCTGGGGCGCTCAGGTTCTCCCGCTCCGCTCACCTGGGTGCAAGGTATTACCCCCCCGGGGGCAAACCCGCCGGGGACCGCTGGAGCCTGAGGGCACCGGGCACCGTCGCTGCAGCAGCCGGGGAGGCCGAGGCAGGATCAGGCCGCTGGTTCCGGTGCCAAACGACGTGGGGCGCCTGAACCGGCCCGGGCCGGCCTGCCTGGGGGGCAGCGGGGGCCGCGCTGGCACCCCGGGACTCCCTGGCTCGGTGAAGGAGGGGAAAACTGATTTCCCCTGCTGAGTAACAACACCGATGCCGCCGCACGAGTACGCAACAGGTAGTTCTTATTTTGCAAAGGCTGCCGAGGTGGGGGGGAAAAAAAAAATAATAATATTCAAATCAGAGCTGTATTTACAGGTCTCCAGGATCTGGGAGCAGCTCCTCGGCACCGCCCCGGGCAGCCGGCGTGGGCAGCGCCCGCCGGGAGAGCGCGGTGATGGGCGGGCTGCCGGCGGGGCGGCTCCAGCAGCCCGCGGAGAGCCGGGGCGCGGGGGGAGGCATGGGGGGGGTGGGGGGGGGGTCCCTCCCTGCCCCCGGCCGGCGGGACAGACCCCCGGCACCGCAGGGCAGGGCAGCATGGTGCGGTCCCTCCGCGAGTGGGCAGGAGATGAAAGCCCCGCTCCAGGGCACCCACCGGGCGATTTGTTGCTGTTGTTGGGTGGGGTTGTTGTTTTGTTCTGTTTTTAAATCTCTTGACAAATTCAGCTTCTGTTACGGCTCACAGTTTCCTCCCGTTGGAATCGGTTCCCGCATCCAGATGTGCCCTTCAGGTCACACGGCAAAATACCTTTTGTGGCAAAGATTGCGCTTGCTGCTGTCGGACTGCGCATCCAGTAGAGCTACCGGGAAAATCTCCTTGGGCCAAGTCCTTTAAAAATTACACAAAAGACTCTGAGGGAAGGCAAACACAGCAAACCCACTCGCAGGTGTAAGCCCCCTCGTTCTCCCTCCGTGTACACCATTAGTAATTTACTTGATTGGGTGAGATAACCAGTCTACAGAAGAAATATGAAGTGGCTCAGGTTGACTTTGATCTAGAAGAATGACTTATAAAGTATAAACTATCGTTACATTTTGATGACATAGCATTTGTGTCAGACCATCACACACGATCAGTGTTTCCTACCAAGTTGTTGTGCTCTTAGCTGGGGTTTCTTTTGGCAATATGCTGCTGGTCAGTTCAAGCAATCCTCCTTTTCAAGAATGCTAGAGAGTGCAAGAGACAACAGTTGCTGTATTTAATCCTAAGAAACAGTAGTTATTATGGCAATACTAAACATCATGGATGTTGCCCTAGATGAGAGATATCAGGAAGGTTGTTTCGCTCTACTCTATTGCCACTCTCACTTGGTTTTGGTTATAACTTTCAAGAACAGACAGGAATTCTGGCTTCACCTACTAGATGTGCAGTGTTTTATGCCTGTGATGAAAGGGGAACTGCTCTGTGATAATTTATGAGTACACTGTTTTGACTTTGCCCCATGAACAGAACAGTCCAATTCAAAAGGAAAATGAAAGCAAAAAGTATGGCTCAAGATAAGCCATTTTTCTACAAACAATAGCTGAGAGACAGTGCCAGGCTTCTTTGCACTGGAGGGGAAAAGAATTAGGGAGGTGAAAAAGGAGCACATTCACAAAAGGCTGGGAATTGTCTGGGAGAATTAATCTGAGACACTTGAGTACACTTTCCTGTGGTTACCTTGTAAATTTTACATTGCAAATACATGAATAAATATATTTTTTTGCCTTTTTTTTTTTTTACCCCACTAAATGCTTTGTTTCAACTGCTAAATGCTTTATTTTAAAGATGTCTTGTTGTATTGCTGTGCACCACTGACCACAAGCTCCTAAAGGCAAAGAGGACTGAAACTCAGCCTGACTTCTGAGGAGGTGCCTTTGATAAATAGAGCCTCAGAATAATTAAAGGCCCATGACATGGTGACCTCAGATCAGAAAGGGGACCGGAGAGGAGATACCTCTGTAAACATGTATCCTTGCATTCTGTGCATCCTCTTCTCACTGAAACACACAGTAGAGTTTGTTATCCCTTGCATTCACAGGCAGCACCAGCTTAACTAGGCATCTTAACGAAGTGATTTATTTCCATTGATGCTCAAGCAAAATAGCCGTGGAACTGAAAACATGCAGCAGCAAAACACATTAGACTGACATGAATGCTCAGTCACATTAAGATCCCTTTACTTTGTGCTGGCAGTATAAAGCACTTAATAACAAAGAAATGCAGTCTCTGTAACCCTTGCTGGGCATGTGCCTGGCTGGGTGCAGATGGCAGGTTTGTGTGGTATGAGGCCAGCTGTAGTATTTTGGCTGTGTTCCTCTGTCTTCTGCTGTCTGTGCGATGCCATTTGGAGATCCCTACAAGTGTGGTGTAAATAGGCACAGCGTGAATGAGAATAAGACCCTAATATGAAAGCTAAGTACATACCACAGAAATCTCCATTGGGCTAGGCAAATGCCCAGTAAGGATTACTGATATCATATTTCTCATTTATTTATATCAAACCATTTTTTCCTTTACTTAAAACTCGCTAATGGTTCTCACAGGAACATGCAGTCACAGACCATCACTCCCAGTCTAATTCTCCTTTCCCTTTCTTTTTATTTGCTTGTAAAGTCCAATTGTTTTCTCTTATCATAAATTAGTCATACACTCCCTGGTGGTGGAACGGTTTCTTATATACTTCTGTAGCTCTTAACATAATAGGATGTCTGGGTGTTGGTTGAATACACAAATAATCGGACATACCACTTTTACAACAAATTTATTTTGGCAATGCTGATATCCTTTGTCTGATTAATGCAGACATTTGATAACTGAGTTGTATTTGCACAAATAATTATGAAAAGTAGATGCTAAGCCTGACTACTTAGATTAGCTATCGCATATCTTACAAAGCGTAAGACACAGTTTTTGGCAGTGCAGGGCTGCCTAAATTCTTTTCTAGGGCTGAGGCACGAGAGAGTTTACAATTACTTAGAGAAGACGTGAAGAGGCTCAATCTAAATGTAAATTTGTCCCTGAGCCAGCCCAGCTTACAGTGGCCTAAGCCTAAGCTGTTATTTTCTACTATTTCAAATCCCTGTTTGAGATCGACTTCAATGACACTGTAAGAGCTGCCAACTTACAATGGCTGGGCTTGGAGTTATAAGGGAGCACTGATGTTTACAGAGTTAAAACAAAATAGCAAATGAAGACACAAATGCATCCATACAGGCCATATGTATGGATAAAACTGCATATATCTGGTTGAGTCTATCATTATTCCCCCTTTGTATGTTGCAGATCCTGAGTAGTAATTTCTGTGTGGCCACACTGTGCTCTGTGATTATACCATCCTGGAAGAATCCTAATCAGGGCCAGCAGGTGTTACAGTAACACATTAACAACAGCAACGAGGCATAGCTTCAACAGAAAAAAGTGTGACATTTTCAAGTTTGCAATCTCTCCCTCAACTGCTATCTCTCCTTGGGGGATTCAAAGCCCCAAAGACCATTTTTAAAGCTTTATTCCTGGTCCCAGGAGTTATATCTAGATTGTGACTGCTCTTTATTTGTACAAAACCCAACTATTAAAGGTCTCGGTTCTTTACTGGAGCTTCTGTCCTACAGTAACAATATTACTGATTGCCATAATTCAATCAGGGAATGGAAATAATTGCATAACTAGCTCTATAAAGGAGTCTAGTTGCAGAAGAGGAGCTTAGGGAGACTTCAGGCACCTTCACCCAAAACTGTATTCCTCCAAAACCCATCACCCAACACCACAGACTCCTAGCTCAGTTGGCCATCTTAATTTTAGCCATAAAGCTCCATGGATGACCAGAGCTTTTTCCTTGTGTGTGTCCATGCTGCTCACTCAGAGCCAGCACTGGAGCCCCTTGGCATCATGCAGTCACCACTTTCTGGTAGAGATTGGGGTCCACAAAAAACACAGCAGCCATCAGCTCTGATGAGAAAACACCAGCACTTCACCTCTTGCAGAGGACCTGGTGGCCATGTGGCAGGGCAGCAAGTGGCTTCAAAGCCTTCCCCAGCCTGCAGGGATTAAAGACCGAACCCCTAAATACCAAGGAGCTGATGGGGCTCGCTGACTGCTATCAGTCATTCCTGCTGGTGCTGGTGGGTGTGAAACCTCCTGGGATCATGGCTGAGAAGCAAACATGGCTCTGGCACCCTTGCTGGGGAGAGACCTTGGGCCTCCCTGTGAAAGCAGCATGTGGTTCCCATGGGTGAAGCCCTCCTACCCTTCCTGAGCATGGAGCTACCCCTTCTCCTTGTTCCTCCAGCTCTGGGTTAGTCACCCCTGCCCTGGCCAAAATCTGCAACCCTGTTACCACAGGCATTCCCAAGGGAGCACAGTTCCTCTTTCAATGTTCAAGGAAACGCCAAAGAGGCAGAATGTAAAGTCCTACATGTTCAGTGTAACAATGCAGGTTTTTTCCAGTCTGGTGTCTGCTTGAGAGTCACAAAAGTTCATGCTGAGGCCTGACTTGGTCTGTTAC